GTCCTAGGCCTTCCCATTCACTCACCACTCACACACTGACTCACCCAGAGCAACTTCCAGTCCTGCAAGCTCCATTCGTGGTTAATGTCCTATACAAGTGTCCCATTTTTACAGATTGAGGTCTTACACTGAAATCCATTTATTTAAAAATAAAGGCCAGGCGTGGTGGCTCATGCCTGTAATCCTAGCACTCTGGGAGGCCGAGACGGGTGGATCACAAGGTCAGGACATTGAGATCATCCGGGCTAACATGTTGAAACCCCATCTCTACTAAAAATACAAAAAATTAGCTGGGTGTGGTGGTGCGCACCTGTAATCCCAACTACTTCCTGATCTGAGAGGCTAAGGCAGGAGAATGTCTTGAACCCGGAAGGCGGAGGTTGCAGTGAGCCAAGATCGCACCATTGCACTCCAGCCTGGGCGACAGAGTGAGACTCCGTCTCAAATAAATAAATAAATAAATAATTTATTTAAAAATGAATTCCATTATTAAAATAATGGAATAAATAAAATAAATTCCAAATAAGTTATTTTTGTGTGAGTATAAGATAAAAGTCCAATTCATTATTTTGCATGTGGATATCCAATTTTCCCTATACCATTTGTTGAAGAGACTATCCTTTTTCTGTTGTGTATTCATAACACCTTTGTCAAAGATTAAATGGCCATACATGTGGGGGTTTATTTCTGGGCTCTTGATTCTGTTTCATTGGTTTCTATGTCTGTTTTTATGCCAGTAGAATACTGTTTTAGTTACTGAAGCCTTATAATATATTTTGAAATCAGGAAGCATGATAACTCTAGCATTGTTCTTCTTTCTCAAGATTGCTTTGGCTATGGGGTCTTCTGTGGATCCATATGGATTTTTGGATTTTTTTCGGTTTTTGTAAAAAGTGTCATTGAGATTTTGATAGGTATTGCATTGAGTCTGTAGACTGCTTTAGGTAGTATAGATGTTTTAACTATATATATGTATGTGTGTGTGTATTTATTTATTTTATTTGTTTATTTTTTGAGATGGAGTCTTGCTCTGTAGCCCAGGCTGGAGTGCAGTGGCGCCATCTCGGCTCACTGCAACCTCCACCTCCAGGGTCCCGGTTCAAGCAATTCTTCGACCTTCAGCCTCCCAAGTAACTGCAATTACAGGCACAAGCCACCATGCCCAGCTAATTTTTGTATTTTTTAGTAGAGACGGGGTTTCACCATGTTGGCCAGTCTGGTCTTGAACTCCTGACCTCGTGATCCACCTGCCTCAGCCTCCCAAAGTGCTGGGATTACAGGCATGAGCCACTGCGCCCGGCCCATTTTAACTGTGTTAAGTCTGACAATCCACAAGCCCAGGATGTCTTTCCATTAATTTTTGTTGTCTTTAATTTCTTTCTTTTTTTTTTGTCCTGCCCCGTCCCTGTCTTTAATTTCTTTAATTAATGTTACATAGTTTTCGGTGTGCATGTCTTTTCACCTGTGGTTACATTTATTCCTAAGTATTTTATTCTTTTTGATGCTATTGTAAATGGGATTATTTTCTTAATTTCCCTTCCAGATAGTTCATTGGTGTATAGAATGCAA